TTAAAAATAATTTCAATTTTATTTTTAAATGTGAAAATTAAAAAATTGAAAATTCAACAAAACAATTTAAAAATATTAAAATAGATAACAAAACGAAATGATAAAAAATATTTACATTTCAAATTTAAATGTTGCTCGTTGCCAAAAGAAAAAAACTTAAATCTAAAATTTTGCTTCATTAATAAATAAAAAGTTGGTTGATTTTATAAATTATGACGGCTAAAGATTTACTGAATGGAAAAAAATAAACAAAATTTCGATAAAATGTTGCGTTAGTCATTATACAACCTTTTTTTAACATTGAATTTTAAAGCTTGCAAATATGAAATGAAAATTAATACCGTGGCATTTGTTATAATAGCATATCACTTTTAAAATATGCTCTAATAAGTTTTTCGAAAATTGAAATACATAGTTATTTAATTAGATTTAATTTTCTGTTTCACTGACCAAAACTGACAACCATCATAATAGTTAAATTGTATGTGCGAATCTTTGTAACCTAAAGGGCTATTTTTGTTGGCTGAATTTTTTGAAAAACTTAATAAACATATATTTTGTTCCAATTAAAAATTCTACGGTTGAACTGATTTTCATATTTTTATGTTTGAAATGATTTCCTTCCCCCTCACTTAAAGATCTTATTGAATTGAATTCTTAACTAAATTAAGTTAAAAGTTTAAACTAAAATCTCATCTACCTTAATTCAAATTCAAATTGAACTATATGTATACAAATTGGCTTATCCAATTGTATTAGGATTTCTGTAGAGTCAAATTGAAGTTATTGGCCTAGCCTTTAGTGTTTGGCCATAACTTTTGATAAAAAAAATAAATAAGTTTTCAAATTATTGTACGCATTTTGGAATTACTTTCGAATTATAGGAAAATGAAGACTTATTAAATTTGACTTAGATATGTTAGGTATATTTAAGTTTTTTTTACATATTTTTATTATCCATTTATTGAGGTCTAAATTAAATTACCCCAAAGAGTTCTTAACTTATTTTAAATTTAAATTCTTACCACTTCTGAAATTTTGGAACGGTTATTCAATTACGAGTATATTGTGTGAAAATCAAAATTTGATTCAAATTTAAATTTAAAATAAGTTAAGAACTCTTTGGGGTAATTGATTTTAGATCTCGATAAATGGATACGAGCGACCTTATTTCGAAATATTTTGTATTTTTTTTTTTTTTGTTCTTTTTTAACTCTTATATCTCCAATCACAAATCACTTTTAATAATCTCTGCCTGTATGCCTTGGTAACAACATTAAATTAATTCATTACTCCGACATATTTGGAAGGTCGCATAATTATTTTGGGAACAATATTCAAATAAGATACATGGCTAAGTATATAGATTTTACCAATTTAATTTACAGTATAACAATAGTCATGTATCCTACTACATATTTATGATTACGCATACATATACAAAGAATAAATTTATAATATTTTAATTAATGTTCAAAAGCACGTAATTGTATTTTTTTCGGACAAATTAAAATTATAAATAATTATTAATTTCATTATTACTATATTATAACAGGATTACAATAGTATAAAAGAAGCCATTGAAAATAAACTTAATCTAATTATAATTTTTTTTTGTTTATTTTTTCAATAAATAAAAGGACATTCAATTTTCATAATATTTTCATGTTAATTTCTCACAATAATGTTAAAGCAAATCGATAATTCAAATTAATCTTAAATGAAAACTTAAAGAAAAAAATAAGGAAAATTTCCATTTGATTATTAAAAAAAATGCCTTAAAAAAATATTTTAAATATTTTATTTTTTTTCACGCTATTTTACTTTATATGTATTATTGTATAAGAATATTGTTCTTTTTCGAATATAGGAGTCGCACGTGCATAATTGTAAAATATATGTAGGTGTTTATTATGATTTCTAAAGGAAATATTTTCTGACACATAAAATATTTAGTTTTTTGACATTTATATACATACAAACTTCTTAGCACATACTAATATATACGCTAACATTAAATTGTAAATATCAAAACAAAATTCAAAATAATTTATCTTATTAACAATTAAAAAAAATTATTGTTAAACAGAAGAAATTGGTGGTCTACACCCTAAAAAAAATTTTTCAAAAATAAAAATTTGTTTTCAAAATTCTACTATGACATTTGAAAAATTAGTCATGATGTCTATGACATTCAACAAATTTATTATAGTTTAAGATGACATTCATTTTTTTGTCTCACTGTTAATCCATATGTAAGGGTGACTTAAAATTCAAAACAATTCTGGTAAAGTAATAAGGTTAACTTTTTATAAAGTATTTTCCATTGGAATCTAAAATTAGTTACTATTCGGCCCTCTTCTTGATTTGAAATTAGTTAAAAAAAAATGGATTAAGCTCTTTTGATTGAAGCTCTTTTGACCCTGATTTTACCTTAATTTTTGAATAACAAGGGAAAAATATGTGATTATTTATTAAAACAAACTAAGAGACAATAAATTAGTTCCACCAAGCATAATATAACAAAAACAAATAATTGGGTAATGTCACGGATCCGACATTTATTTTAAAAATAAAGGTGTAAATAAGCCATATGTTAGAATAAATATGCACAATTACACTTTTATTTAAAACAATGCAGTAAGAAATTAATTGATATAGTGTTAACGAGTATTCTCTTTTATACTCTACAAAATTATTATCTCAAATCATATTTGGAGTTTTTTGGAAATATATTATTTTCTCTTGATTTTATTTACATACTCTCATTATTATTAAATATTTTTCTCTTTTTTTATTATTCTTAATTTTGAACTATATTTTTTAAACATTAACAGTTTCCTTATTAAATAAAATGTGCTTTTTTTAAAATATTGATTCGTTATTAACTTAATTTTTTTTTATAATCAATAATTTCATTAATAATGAGAAATATTAAGTTTAATTAAAGGTTTTAATTAATTAAATTTCTCAAACCTTGTTCTTTAATATTATGTATACTCGTATATGCGTGTAGGTATTCGAATTATTATGCTGGTGTGGTGAAATTTTGAAATTTAATTAATCAATTTAAAAATAATTATAATACAATTTTAAAAATTTGTTAGATGAACTTAAATACAAATTTATAAATTTTTGAATAAATTTTTTCTAACACAAATACGAGTACAGAGCTAATTCATTAATTTCGAATATTTACATATACTTAAAATTTCTTGTAAATAAGGAAAGCATTTTTCAAAAGTCAATCAATTTTAATTTATAGAAACGGCTGAAAAATTTATACTCAAATAAGTTGAATGTTAATGTTATGATTAAAATTCATTCTAGATAATTTATAAAATTAAGTTTTTTAACATTATAAAACACTTGGTGTGAGACCTGATTTAACGTTATAGAAAAAACCCACCACGTATCTAAAATTTTCCATGCATACGATTGTATGAAAAACAATGAAGATATTGCACATTTTTTTTTTAATTATATTTAATTAATTATTTTAAACAAAAAGCTTTTTTAATTTATCAACTAAAATAATAAAATTTTAGCTTTTTATCTTAGTTTATAATCAAACAAAATATATGTAATTTTTATAATTTCCTATACAGAAACACACAACTATATGTTTTGTTTTCATATTACAAAAATGTTCTTAGGTATTTCATCAAAAAATGTAATAAGTTTTTATAGAAAAAACTTTTAGAGAAATAAAAAATAAAAGAAAAATTCTATAGGTTAGAAAATTTCACCAAAATAGAATGAACACCCTATATGCAAATTTTATTTGCCAGTTTGACTTATTCAGCAAAAAAAGTGTAATTTTACTTTTTACCTCAGTGTAGATTCCAGTTTGTTGAAATATACATAGATTCGTGTTTGGTTTTCTTACCTCAGAGCGCTAAGGGCTAAAAATTCGTCTTCCATTTTGAAATCGGTGTTGCCTCAGATCAGCCTGCTAATAGATTATCGAAAAATTTTTTTTAAATTTAAGCTCTCAGATTACAAAATTTTTTCATCTAATCAGAGCTCGGTCACATAATTCCGATTCTAATGAGATTTAGCGTTTGAACTAAAAAACGAAATAAATTAACAGCCTAATCGTGTATCTTCCATTTTTAATCACTTTTTATTCACTTTCAAATCAAAATTTTCCGTTTTTCTAATGGATATTTCATTTTTCCAATAAGTTTACTCATTTTTTCAGTTGGATTATTGCATTCAATGAGTTTCTCAAATTATCAACTGAACGTCTTACTTTCAAAAACAAAATGAATAAATTTTATATACATTTTAGAAAAAAAAAAACGAGATACGCAAATACCGAATAATATTCTTCACACTCCAAAATTACATTATACAGAGATAATATAATAGTTACTCACTTTCTTCTCACTTGTCGAGTAAACAAGCGTGATAGATGATCAGGCTTTTAGGGTTAAAATCAGATTTTAATTTAAGGTATAGACGCCACTAAAGCTTTGTACTGTTTATGTAGATATACCTTTTATCTATAACTTTAACGGTATATATATATATATATATATACTATATAACAAGTGTGTTATCTTATGTTATTCGTAACAGATGGAGCTTTATTTTATACTCGTGATTCACAATTATCAGGTTTTTTTGTGTAAAAAAAACAAATATTACGCTCGTAAATATAACATTCATTTTACAGAATAAAGATAAACTAAGTAAAATTCAATATGTACTTATATGTATGTATAACACTTGCATAATTAAGTTATCAGTAAAAAAAAAAACAAGCAAAAATATAGGCAAAAATTCATGAAAATTGAACAGTCTGCCAATCATTATTGCCTCTTTATCGTCGAAAAAGCGATATTTATTTTTTTTACTATTCTCTAAAAATTTATTGATAAAAATTGGAAAAAGAAAAGAATATTATTGAGTTGTAAATTTTTGAATTAGTTTCTATACAGTTAATTTTTATATCGCAGTATCGATGACAATTAAAGTTCAAGTATGCAAAAGTACTAATTTCGCAAAAAAAATTAATTTTAATAATTTAAAAAAAATTAATACGCACTTAAAAATATAGAGTGAGTAGTGATAAGTGTAAAATATTTAAACAAATCAGAATTATTATTAAAAAATAATAAAATCTTATTGTAAGTTTTTCTTTTATTATATAAACATTGTGAATTTTTTATTCAAAATAGATTTAATGTGTTTTTAGAACTCTTTTTGTTGTTCTTGTTTGCAAATTCATTTCAATATAATTAGAAAAATGTGAATAATAAAAATTAAAATACAAAATAATAAATTTAACTTGAAATTTATAACATGACGTTGATGGGAATTTAAAAAACGGGAAAAAAAATCTGTAATTTTTCGCATTTTTGAGCGAAAAAGAAAATAATTTTTGACGTAAATAGCAAGATCTGTTATACCGAATTGATATATGTAGGTAGGGAGAATAACAAATACATATACTATGTTTGTTATACTTGATAAATGAGAAGAAATAAATTAAATAATGAAAAAATAATATCGAAATATTCAAATTATAAAATTAAAATATAATAAATAGGGAAATTTCATTTGATTGAATAAACCGGAGTAGAGTAAATATAGAAAGCAAATTAAGATTAGAATTTTGTAGTATTAGAATTTTGTAATATTGAAGTTTTTGTTGGCTTGCTTATTAATATAGACTTTTCAAAAATAAACCAGCTGAAACACAACATTCGGAACGAGATTGTTGCTATTCATGTAATAGTGTGTCAACGAGTCTCTGAAAATTTTGAATTTCGTATCACAGGCTGTCATACGAAGGTGCTCGTGGTAAACATAATTTTTCACATATACTCAATTGTATAATGATACAATTGAAAATTTTTTGATAAAAATAGTGAAAAATTAAAAAATCTAAATTTTTGGCATGTTTCATCGTAAAACAACATTTAGGCGCGACTTAAATAAAAAATTGATATTGCATATATGAAGGCGCGTCTCTCAAATTAAATTAAGTAGGATTTATATTATATCATAATTATAATTTCTTCTGAAGTAACAATCAATTCATTATCGTTTATATATTAAAATTAGATTAGATAAAAATAAAAATTAATTACTTTACTAATGTTTATTTTGCAATTGTGATGTGACGCCAAACTATTATACAAAAACTATTATACAAAAATTACAGATTTATGTTTTTTAATTTGTTTTCATAATAATTAAAATATTCAAATAAAGGAGGAAGACAAATATTTTTTATGTTATCATTTAATAATCTTAAAAGTAAATTAGTCATAATCTAATCAATAAGATTGTATCAAGTGCGTTTTGTATATTTTACCGAAAACAGAAAAAAACAAGTGCTCATTAGTTTGTTTGGACGCTTTGTTTTTCAACGTGTCAGAAAGAACTTTTCTTGTAATTGTTGCAGATTTTATGAAATTTTAAGGCAATAAAGACTTCCATATAAAGTTTATAAATTTTGTGAATGTAGCAAACAAACTACTCGTTTATTTTAACGCCTCGCATATACATACATACATATGTACTTTTTTTCGATTAAAATAATTACGACTTTATTATTTTTTGTTGCTATTTCACATATTATTTTTAAAAAATTGATTACACTAAAAAATTAAAATTGAGGTAGAATTTTAAAAAAATTTCAATTTGACCTTTTTAATAATATTATATTAAAAATATTTAATCAATTTATTTTATTAATTTTACGATAACAATATGGAGATAATATATTATCAAGTAATCGATAAATCAATCGTCTCTATATTATGAAAAATGACTAACAAAAACTTATCGAAAAAAAAAATATTATAAAAAATAATCTCAATTATTATAAGGAAAAAATTTTTTATAATTAATTTTATTTTATTTAACCCTTTATTTTCAAGAAACAAAAAACTAATATCGTAACTTGACAAATTAGAAATTAAATACTTGAGTGATAGTAAGGCGGAATGCATCGAATCTCGATTATACATCAAAATAAAAATTAAATTTAATTCAAACCCTAATAAAAAATAAATACATTCAATTTCATTCAAATTTTGCTTAGAATTTATTGAATTTCAAATTGATGATATTAAAACACAATTCAGCTTATGACTTGTATTTGCTGAATTGTATAACATTCAGTTAGCATAATTATTATTTCACAATTACTTTATAATTCTGTATAAAATTGATATGAACAGCAACGAATCAAACATGAAATGTCAAAAATAAAAACGCGAAAAATGAAGCAGCAAAAAAATTGCCCTATGGCGTTCATTGTAATTGCATAAACCTCATTTTTTCCTTTCATTATAATTTTTGATTTTTTGAATTTTTCGATAAATTTATGCTATTTTGATTTTTGCCTGTGGTTTAATAACCCTGATTCTTTTATGATTTTCAAAGTAGTTTTTTTTTTATGTTGATGAATTTATTACAAATGATTAAAATTAAAGCTAAATATCTAAAATTATAAATTATCTTATCAATTCGGTATATGTGTGTGTATGTTGGTAGTAATCTGTTAAAAACAATGAAATTTAAAAAACAACAAAATCCTGATAACACAATAGAAGAAACAAAAAAGAATCAATACCTAAAACTGAATAATTCGAATAATTTAGTTATAAAATACACCTGACAAAAGTAAAATCATTTGTTGTTTTTTTTTTTCTATCATAAAATTTTACTTTAGTAACTTTCTATTTAATTAAATTTATTTTTATATTATTTATTTTATTTTTATTTTATTTTATTTTTTAATATCGGAACAGATTAAAAATTCGGATTTATAATTTGAAATTATTATTTTTTTTTTTATTTAAATTAAAATTTAAAATTCGTATAAGAATAAATTAAATTTTTTCTTAATATTGTAAATTAATAAAAAAAAAAAAAATTATAAAATAAAAAGATGGCGCTTTTAACAGGAGGAGCGAATTTCATACGTTATTTACTGTTTGCATTCAATTTATGTTTTGTGGTAAGTATTAAAAATATTTTATAACATTTTTAAGTGTAAACATTATTTTGTAAATATTTAAAATTTAAGGTACCCAAATAGGGTGTCTACCGAAATGCGAATCTAGAACCAGCTTGATTTATTTAGCAATGCAATTTTTTGTTGCTGAATGAATCACCCTAACATTAGATTTGCATTTGGGTGTTTATGTATAGCGCGGGTATAATTGTGCTCTAATAGAACTAACAAGGATTTTAATTTAATTTTAAATTAAAATCACATAATTTTAACACATTAAAATTATTAAACGGTGAAATTTGAGAATTTGTAGTATTAGGATAATTTTTTTTTTAATTTTTCTTATTTTAATAGTCTGACATCGATATTACAGAAATACAATCCATAACTTCAAAAGTGCTGTAAAATTGTAATAATATACGTTATAACTTATAAGCTGAATTGTATATTATTATCGTATTATTGCAATTTTGAAGTTTGGGTGTATCACTACGTAATTCGGCAATTAGAAGTTGTGATCTTATAATATCTTATAATTTTATAATAATTTCAGATTATATGTAAAATGTACATACACATAACATTAAGAAGTTTTTTCAGATAACCTAATTTATTATTACTATATACTTAATAAACTAACATTTAACAAAATTTTATAACCTAAAAAAAAATTGCATCGTAACAGTCGTTGTCAAACAATCGATATATACTGAATATTCAATTGTTGTCAAAAATATCGACATGTACTTTAATACATAGCTCTAACATCAATCTAATTTATTCAGCAGTATACAATTTGAAGTGCTGAATAAATAACTGGAATAAAATAATAATGTTAAATAACAATATCGAGCTAAAAATATGTTTCTTGATTCAAAATCGAAACTTCATTAATATAACATTTCTGTATTTTGAATATGTGCGACGATAACTGTTATATTATATTTACGAATGAGTGATAATCAATATTTTTAAAATAATTTTTTATTCTGCTGAGTAACAAAAATAAATTTTAATTTCTCATATATAAGCTAATTTAGATTTTAATCAAATTAACGACGTCATTTCACTTATCAGTTCTGTTATCGGAATACTTTTTTTTCCTTTGTCTTAATTTGTTGACATTTGTATGGTTTTTATAATAATAATTCTTTTTACAATATTTTCACTTTTAAATTTTCATTTTTTTTGCTCTTTCTCGAAGACATTTTCGTTTTTCCGAATTCATCTCAATCCTAGCTATAACAAATTTTGAGCTGGGAAAAATTTTTATTTAAGAGCATATAAAACTTAACTATAGTATAACACTATCTATATGTGTATAAAATTCCCAACTATCTACATCAATCTATATAAAATTATAGAGCTTTTATACATATTCGCTCCTGCAAAAGGAAAGCATCACCTTAGCGTCCTATGATAACAACGAATAATGCTGCATTTTCGGTTGATTTACAACAAAATCGGAAAAACTTTAAATTTATGTAAATAAAGTCATTCCTTTAATTGGCTTATCAGAATAATTATATTAAAAAATATTGCATTTTTTGTAATTTTTAAGTAAGTATATATACATATTATGACTGTGATCGCTTAACAAATTCAAATCTTTTAATAATTTGTGAAATAAATTCCACTATAGAGAGCAATATTTACAGTATATTTTTATGAAATCATTAAAATAATAATTGATGGATCCATAAATACTTTTCAGAATTTATAAAAGTGTTATCTAATGGTTTTATAAACAAATCAAATATTTACATATATACATACATACGCATACGTATGGAAATTATTAATAAATAAATATAAATTTGTGAATTTTGAAGCTATACAAAAGCTCTTAATTAATTGCTAGAGCGTAATCTTCTTGCGATTTTATGATTTCATACTTTTTCCAATTGTAAATTAAAAAAAAATCGGAAAATTTTTAATGTGTGGTATATATGTATGTATGCAAATATGTTTCTGTATACACTATAAAAAATTTTTATTATATTTAATAAATTTTCGTTGCTAATCAAACTGAAAAATTTAAAATTACACACCTAAAACAATAAAAATTTTCGAACCGTTTTTCCATATAAAAAAAGAAAAATAGGTGAGCCGTTACGACTATGTGTCTATGATTCACTCAAATATTGGATGCGTTCCTTTTACAAAAAATAACACTCCAATCTACTCCCGTGTATTTGGAAATGTTTTTGTATAAATACAAATAATGGATGAATGAAAACCGGAGTATAACAGTTATATGAATATGAAATATTATACAGTTATACGAATAAAAAATATTAGCGTAAATATTCGTTTACATTGTAATTATACTCCATTGTAAGGCTATATTGTTATTCAACCAGAGTATTATTTGTTTAGAGAGTTATATGGCCTATAATTAGTTGTTTTTTTACCAGCACATCTCTGTAAGTAAATATTTATTTCTTTGTTATTTATGCTAATTCGGAAAAAAATTCGGAATAATATTTTTAGTTCGGGAAAAAATCCGAAAAATTATTTTTTTTATTATAAAAATAAAAATAAATTTTCCGAATCGATTTCAATGACTTTCAATTGAATTAAAAATGCCAGATCTAAAGTTAAATTAAAAAAAAAATTAAAAATTATTCAAGTTTTATGTTATACATAGCGTAAAAAGCAACATTGTTTGTTATTCAAGCATTAAATTACGATTCAGTATAACAGTTTCTTAAATGACTTGCAAATTCCGAATTGTATTTTTGAAAAATTAAAATAATTCTGAACCCACAACCAAAAACTTTTCCATATAATTTAAATTAGTTACAAAATATTTTAAATTGTTGTACTCAATTTCAAGTATAATTTATAATAAGAAAATCCTTAAATCTTTTATATTTTTTAAACATATTTTAATTCATTTTCTAGCATAGGACAATATACGTTACACACCTACATTTATACATACATAAATAGATTAAATTGCAAATTAAAAAATAATTTTAATATTTTCCATTTTTTTTTTAATTTATAATTATTTTTAAATTTAATTTATGTATATTATAAAACAAACAAACAAAAAAGACATGCATTGCATATGAATTAAAAAAAAAAAACAAAGTACAGTATGTAATAAATGTGCTATTATCAATACAATTTCGTTCTCTTTATAGGTTTTCTAAATAGACCATTTTTACTCTCAAGTATCAACAACATAATAATATTAATGTGTCTTTATTCTATTAATTAAGTCATTATTATATCTCTGACATGGTTTAACAGAGAAATAGTTAATTCGTATACGTATAATACTTAATACTAAATGAATTCAAAGTTTATAAAGCTTCTGCGCCATATGGTTAACGTTATAATCATATTGAATTCATTTATGTATATTTTTTAAGTAATATTTGTATATATATATAAATTGTGTATATAAGTATATTCAAACCGTATAATAGATCGTATTTTAATAGATGAATTTAAGCAGATGATATCATTAAATTGCATATGTAGTTTTTTTTATATACATACATATACTTAGAGATAGAAAATATTTCAAAAATCATAAAAGCAATAAAGTGGAAAAAAATTTTAAACAATGTTGTAAAAATTGGAAAATATTTTCTGGTTATTCAATTGATTTCAATTTATAAAATATTTTATTTTACGTTAAGTGAATAAATTTATAAGCATATAAAATGATTCCAAATAAATCTCAAATAAATATATTTTGACACTACAATCAAATTATTTGTAAATTTATAATACTTATATGTATGTAATGATCAAATTTTCCAAAATATTCGAATAAAATTCAATTATATTCTCGGGCTTATTGTATAATAATCTCAATAGGTTTGAAAAAAAAAATTTATTTCATTTTATTTATTAATTTTATTAAAAAATTATAAATTCTTGTAAATTCAAAAATGAGTCAAAAAGTTTATGTCTATACCCGATTGCCAATGTCAAAAAGAATTGTAAAATTATATAAAGGTTAAAAAGAGATAATATTGAAAATTTGAGTGAATAATTAGCAAAAAATAATAACTTTTAACTAAATCTCTCAACTGCAAAAAAATACTGGAAAGTGCTTTCTCTTACAAAAATTTTCAGAACAATAGGCCATAAATAAGTTTTCATAATCATAAATAAGTTTTGCAAATCTAATAAACTTATGTATTATTATTTTAAATGAAATTTGTATGAGTAGCGAAATTAAATCACATGAAATTTTTCATTTTATAAAATAATTGAAAATATATTGCATATTCATCACTTTATATTGTGTTGTAGTATAACTTTTCGCAGCTATTGTGTTGCAGTATTACGATATGCAATTATTCTTGTGCAGTATTGCATTATAATCAAAAGTTTTAATTATTATTATAAAATTTTTGTTGTTTGCAAAGAATCAGACATATGTATACATGTATAACATGGAAAACTATAGAGACAACAAAAAAAAAAAACAAAAAGTCAATAAATGTTTATAAATATAATATAGGCTTTCACAAACATTACACATAAATACAAATATTTTATATAAAAATTTATTGTTATATAAAATATTTGTAAAAATTTTTATTTAGAGAGAGACTCAACAGTTTTTCATTATTTGTCACTCATTTATATTTGAGCAATTTTTTGAGCAATTCTCATTTATATTTGAGCAATTCTCTCAATAAATGAGAGAATTATCTTAAAATTATTAAATTCGAATAACATGACAATCTTTTTTAAAAATTTTTCGCAAAAAACACAAGTAAACAATTTATTAATAATTTTGTAACACCTTGTATATATTCGTTACTTTTATTTAATTATATAAGCAAAAAAAAAAAAACAATAATAACAATAACAATAATTACTGTTGATAAAAATAAAAGTGAGCAAAACGTTAGTCATTTGGAGACTTTTTTAATTTTTTTTCTATTTTTTTGTTGTTTTCTTTTTTTTTTACAAAAAAGATAAAGAAATTAAAATTAGTTTTGACTAGAAATTTGTTAAATGAACGTTTATTAGGACAAAAAAAATATTGTTATTCCTATAATTTTTTTTTTTTTTGCAATTGTTTTTAATTTAACAATAATTTAATATTATTTTATTGTATTTTTTTTTTGTTTCTATACACACACAATTTTATTACATTAATATTTACTTTTAAGAATTTATTTTTAATAACGAGAATGCAATCTGTTATACAAATAAAAAAAATAATGTTAATAGCTTCATTAGCATAAAAATAAAGAAAAATTTTTTAATATTTAAATATTTTAATAATACAGAAAAGTGTTTATACTTTAAGAATATTGTGGAAGAACAAAACAAAAAAACAATTCTTCAATCATAAAATCAATAATAACTTTTAAGAAATTTTTATTATTTGTAAACATAAAAAAAAAATAAAAAAAATGTTTATAAACAAAAAAAAAATGAAAGCAAAAAAACGCCCACGATCATAAAATTAAATTGATCAATGATCAGTTGAATCTCAAATATGTTATCTACATATGTAGAGTATAAGTTATATAATAGTTAATTATATAACAGTAAAATGTGTGTATTAAAATTTTAAAGTGTTACCAATTCGAATGAATAATATTAAAATGTAAATAGAGTAAATCACCTAATTTTTTTTTTTTAGTTAAATCACCTTTATTGCCTAAGTTTACAAATTCTTATAGAAATAATTCTAAGGAATAAAATTTTAACTGTTACCTTAACTGTTACCTATAACTACATAAATATCAAGACAGTTTATAAATTTTTAACAATTTTATTTACTACCGTTTAAAATAAATTTAATTACAAAATTTTAAAATATTTCATTATATGACAAGTGATACCGCGTGCATATCTGTATAAAATAAAATTTTACAGAATTTAAAAAAAAAAAAACATATTATTAGTTGCAACTTTTAGATTTTTTTTTTTTAATTAAAAACTATATTTTATTTTTTGAAATTGTCGAACTTATATAATGTACGTCACATCAAAATTTATTCAAAAATCAAACTTAATTTACGATATTTAAATTCGATTCATTAGTTAGATATCGTAAAGAAATTGTAAGTAATGGCATTTGTAATATTTGACTAACGTATAACGTTTTGTAGTAGAAGAATCAAATCATTATTTTTAATAAATTTTGCAATAACAAAATACAGTAAAACCCCAGACAAGAAACTATCATTTAAGAGCACAATTCCTTTTACTTCTTTGAATATCTGTTTGCTTTTCATATTTATAATACGCGTTTACAAAAAATTTCTGTTTTGGCGTGTTTTTATATTACTTGCTTCTTACTTGCCCAATTTGCCAGAAAGAAGGTTTCCAATATTTCAATAATAAAAAAAATAAATGTTTCCCTTCATTTAGAAAAGTTCTTTAACTTGAAATGAAACAAAATTTTTACATTTTTTAAATTGTAAATTTTTCAAAGATCCGCAACTTTCGATTTGCAATAACATTTTATTATCATATATAGTTCAGTAATTATTTCGTATAAGCTGAATTGAGTTTTAATACCATATATCAGAGAGAAAGTAATCCAATTTACATTTACGATATTTTGCTGTTCAAAATATGAAAATTAAATATTACAGTTTTTTTTTTTTGTATAATTTCAAACTGTTCTAAAATAAAAAAAAATCTGATGTGGTCAGCACATAACCGACCGCATTGTGTATTGTCTAGTTAAATGAAAGTGTTACAGAATATTATAAAAATGTCTGTTAAATACTTCTTTCCAATTTTTAGGACATTAGTAAGCTTATAGTTAACATACTTAGAAAAATGTAAATTTGGCTCTTAGTAGAGTTTCGCTTTGTGCTACCCGAATTCCCTGAAATGCTCGCTAGTTAGTTTCGGTAACAACCAGAACTCAAATATCAAATTTCAAGAAATTCCATCAATTTGTTCTGTGGATATGGTGAAAAATGTAAAATCGGCCCGCAAGTCAGTTCTCGAGCCCTGATCTTTCCAAAAAAGTTATATGTTCATTGCTTTAATATGAGGAATTCATATATTAAATTTCAATGAAATCGGTTGATTATTTCTCTTTATATACACAAAAATGTATATTTGGCCCGTAGTAAACGCCCAGTTGCTGATGCCTGATTTCTTCCAAAAGTTAGGAGTTTTTGCGTATGATCGAGCAAAGCTTATATATGAAATTTCAAGTAAATTGGTTGAATACTTTCTTCAAAATGGTGAAAAATGCAAAATCGGCCCGCAAATCCGTTTTCGAGCCCTGATCTTTCCAAAAAATTTATATGTTCATTGTTTTAATACGAGGAGTTCATATATTAAATTTCAATGAAATCGGTTGATTATTTCTCTTTATACTCGTATACACAAAAATGTATATTTGGCCCGTAGTAAACGCCCAGTTGCTGATGCCTGATTTCTTCCAAAAGTTAGGAATTTTTGCGTATGATCGAGCTGAGCTTATATATAAAATTTCAAGTAAATCGGTTGAATATTTTCTTCAAAATGTTCAAAAATGTAAAACAGGCCCGCTAAAAAGTGCAGTTCCCGAGGCCTGATATATACCAAAAGTTGAACGATCCGTGCCATGGTGGAAACAAACTTACATATAAAATTTCATCAAAATCGGTTCAGCCGAACTTGAGATACACGCGTGCACACACAGACCGACAGACGGACAGACCGACAGACCGACAGACCGACAGACCGACAGGTTGCTAAAAATAGTTTATTTACACTTCCCTACTATGGAGAAGTACGTTCCCACCGAAAACTCGATATGCAAAATTTGTTGCCATCACATAACCTACCTATTGTTTACACAATACGGTCGGTAAAAATATGTTCCCGTACTGTGATAAATTTTATGGCGACATTACGACAAAACTAATATAAGAGCGCAGGGATATTTTTTTTTTCTATGAACAAATACAAATTTACGATATTATATAGTTGACAATATTAATCATTTATATTCAAACTAACATAATAGATTGCTATTGATTAAATCAAATTTATTAAATTATTAATAAATTGTTATTTTATTTTTTTTCATGAAATTAATTATTTTTATTAGAATTTATATTTTTTTTAAATAACTTAAGAAAAACAATTGTTTTAATTTAATATTTACATTATTACTCGTTTTATTTCAATAAATTGATCAATATTTTTTATAACAATATACATACGTACATATAAATATTGTTTTATTTATTAAAATATTGGAGCACAAAATAAATGCAAATCATTTTTATAATATTTATTTAAAAAAAATAAAAAATTAAATAAAAAAAATTAGTGATTAAATTACATTATATAAATATTTGTTTTTTTTTCAATTTATTTTAGATAACTGGAATAATTATAATATCAGTTGCAGCTACAGTACAAGGTGTTTACTGGGAATATGATTCATTTTTAATTGGAAAATTCTTTTCGATACCAACATTTTTAATTGTTATCGGTGTATTTATATTTATAATTGCATTCTTTGGTTGTTGTGGAGCATATAAAGAAAATTATTGCATGATATTAATATTTTCAATATTATTATCATTAATATTTATATTTGAATTATCAGCTGGTATAGCAGGTTATGTATTGAGAAGCGAAGCCCATAAATTGATTGATACAGAATTACAAAATACTATGGTTAAATATAGTAATTCATCATATCCAAAAATACAATATATATGGGATTCAGTACAAACATCAGTAAGTTTTTATTTTTTTTTTTTTATTATTGATACTACTAAAATTATAATATATAATTGGAATAGTATTATATTGTATTAAAATAAAATATATGTATGTAGTAAATTCCATAATGCTGGTAATACGCAAATTTCATTTTTATCAAAAATAGTAATTACAACTCCTTTTATATGAATACATACATAAAATTACTAACAAAAAATAGCTCAAATTTTTATAATATAATTCAATTTATGTGTATATAAAAATTACCCCAGATTTTCATTAACAAAAAAAAAATATAATTCAGAAAATTAAACAATATGATACCAAGAACGAGCTATGAAACGTAATATTATTATGCTTTTCAAGAAGCAAAGTCTACGAACAAATTCTTTATTTTAATTTACATAACACTAATAATTGTAATCTAAAAATTTAATTAACACATTATTATTTTACAAAATATTAAATGTTGTTTACTTAGATTTTATTATAACAAATTTTTTTTATGTAAAGTTGGTCAATCAAATTTACAATAGTCCCAATGTTGTCTTCCGACATTAATCTCGAAATATTATTAATGAGCTTCTTTAAATTAGTAGGCCGTAAATAATTTACATTAATGTACATATATATTTATTTACATTTAATAATTCTTAAAAATTTCAAAAAATAAATAATATTAATAATTTTAATTTTATAAAAATTTTAGTTTGAATGCTGTGGTTCAGAATCATATAAAGATTGGGGTAGAGTTTTCGAAAATAATAAAGAAAAATTAGATTTACCAATGTCATGCTGTGACATACCAAATGGTGTTATTGGAAATTATTCATGTAATGGTGCAAAAATAAATAATAAACATTTACATGGTGCAGGATGTTTAAATAAATTCGCTGATTTTATTGAATCACATGCTGTTAGTCTAGGAGCAACTGGAATTATATTTGCAATAATTCAGGTAAAACTACTTTAAATTTTTTAAACCTAATTTTATTTTTAATTAAATTAAACATGTGATGTGCGATAACTATTGACAATAAAATTCACTTTTAATTTTAGTACATATTAACATTAATTCAATTGCCGTGGCACAAATTTTTTTTTAACCCATTAATATGTATAGTTACATACATATAAAATTTATATGATAAGAAAATAATCCGCTAACATTTATCAATTGTTTAACATGATAAGACTGTAAAAATATTACATTTAATTCAATTTAAAATCGTTGTAGTTGTTTGCCGAAACCCTTGTGTATCTACGACTTATTTATTTTATTGATGGACAAATACAAAAATTTTTCTTATATATGTAAATACATAAACGAATCTTGTATAACTTTTTTACCCTTTTATATTTAAATATTAAGAGCTAATAACAATAATTTAAATTTAAAAAAAGATAGCAGATATTTGTTAGACATGGCAAAACCTAGGTGAAAAATGTAATTAAGATTTTTAAAGAAAATTTTTTTATTATTCATTGTTTTTTTTTCAAACTTCCAGACTTCGCAAATTGAAAAATTCGTGATGAATATACAACTATACAAATAAAGAAATTATTAAAATAATTAAAATATATACGATGAACAGGATCTTATTACCACAGTTCTAACCAAATGGTTTAATTCAAATTTCTAAACTAAACTAAGCCTGCATTAGATTAACTAAAATATATTCTATAAAGTTTTCTCTTTTTAAACTAAAGTAATCTCTTTTTAATGCAATTTTGTTGTTGAACTTCACCAAGATCAATTTAAGCATATTTTAAGAAATTTTATTTACACTTATGGAACCTACAGTTATTACATTACACCGTATTATTATCATAATATTACTACATCACACCGTATTAATTGTATTACAAATTTAAATTATATTTTTTAAATAAAAATTTACAAGACAACATCCTAATCTAATAATTCTTCTTTTTATGACCTTAAGTTAATCAAATAAATTCCTATTTCCTATGTTATCGTTCAAAGTTTATTTTAGAATTCAAATTGAATTTCAAAAGAATTCATTCAATACTATAATTTAATTTAAATGCAATTTAAATATAGTTTACTTTGACAATATTGAATCTAATTATAATTATTTTAAGAAAATATTTTCAAAATTGCTTTTTGTTAATTTATTTGCCCTTAAATTTCATATTATAGTATGGTTAAATCCTATAATTTAAAAAATAATTTTACTAAATTATATTTAAAAATTCAGAACTACTTTAATATTGAATTCAAAATACATCATATTAATTTATTTTTTTCATTTTTAAATACCCTTATCAAATTATATTATTATATTTTAATAAAAAAAAAATAATTAATCATTTTTTTATATTTTAGTTAATTGGAATATTCTTTGCATGTTATATAGCTAGACAAGTTAAAATAAAAACTGGAGCAAGTGGACTTTTCTAGGCTTAATTAAAAAAAAAATTGTACAAAATAATTTAAAAACAAAAATTAAAATTATTTTTTAATTAAATAGATAACCCTATAAATTTGATGCAAAATTTTCATTTAATATTCATAGAATTTTTTTTTTTGCCCTGAAATTACATTCTACATTAATAAATGTTACTTAAATTTAAAAATTAAACATTCCTTAACAAATTTAAAAAAAAATAAACAGAATAAAATTTAATTTTTTTTTTTTTTTTACAATAATTTTAATGAACCAAATATACAATATAATTATAATAAAACAAAAAAAAAGAAAAAAAAAACTATGTGTTTTATAGTCTATTATTTTTTAATATTTTATTTCTATTTTGTTATATACTTTATAATTGTGTTTTTGTTATTTTACATATTTTTATATTATAACTAATTTGCTTATATATAAAAGTTAAGATATTTAAAACAAAAATAAAATTTAATTTTTCTTTGTTTTTATTTCCTACACATATGTATATGTATGTACTTTAAAAATCTTATTAAAAATTATTATTAAATATTAAAAAATTTTATAATGTTTTACTGATAGTCAATTAATGTAGAAATATAAAAACAAAATTTTGCTAAAAAAAAAAAAAAAATAAGAAAAATGTATGTAAATAGAATATTCATAATAAAAATTTTTGTTAAAAATGTGAAAATAAAAATTAAAAATGAAATTAAAAATACCAAAAACAAAAAATATTATTGAATTGGAATTACATGCGGGATGGTTTATTTTAAAAATTACCTAAATCCGTATCAAAACAAAAATGAAATATTTCTCTGTTTGAGTTTACAAATAAAAAAAATTACCAGTTAACTTGTTATTTCCTTTATACAATATTCATATCCAACAATATAAGTCTCTTATCTAATTATTGACATTATGATTGCTTTGGAACTAAAAAAAAGTTTTGAAATTGCAAATTGACTTACGTTGTTTCCAAAATAAACCATCCATATTTTCTTCCTATATAAAATGAACTATGTATATGTATTTGAAATTATTCTATAAAGCAAATACAAAGATATAAATTAAAAATACTGAAAAAAAAAAACAAAATCACTTAAATAAGCCAGTTCTAATACTTAAATAAGCCAGTTCTAATACTTAAATAAGATGAAGAATCAGCATGTGAATTTTCTAATATGCATCACATTATATAATAGAATATTATTCAATAATGATATTGTAATTTCAGTGTATAACTCCAAATGTTCAAAATTGATTTTATTTTGCAAAATGTATGCTTGATTGATTATCCTATCACATAATTTAATGTATTTTTAAGAAAAAAATGGATGTTAGTGCTAGTAAATCATCTTCCTTGAACGTTTTGCCCTACTATTACTTTATTTTCCTATATATTTACAGTAAGACATGTATTTTCTTATCCTTATAAGATCTTTTTAACTCAATGTGTATCCTGTTCTATTTCATTAACTTAATTATTTCATTAACTTCATTTGTATCCTACACAATTTCTTTTTTTTCCTTAGAACTAGTTTAAATATTATTTTACTTAATGTAGAATATTATTTGTTTTAAAACATACATTAATTACATCGTGTTTATTGTAATATTAAATATTTGTGCTTAAAATTTGTTTTTAAAAACATAACTAACTTTTATTTAACGAGTGCATAACAATTTTATTGTAAAACTAGTAAATGACCCCTATGTACCCATTCTATGAACATGCTCATTTACTTAAGCTTTGACGGACGCCTTAAAATATCCTTGACTTCCAAAATGGAATAATTCGTGTTAATATAAAATTCAGCTTGTAAGTGTCATAATACCGTATTATTGCATTTTGGAAGTTAAACTATTTTATATTTTTAAGCTATATTTCAAGGTATGATGTCAAGACTGCATTAACTCCTTGTTCTTTATTTTTTCTTAAGAGGTTTTTTAATATGATGTCCCTGAACATAAAAAATATTTATTGCCAAAATATACGATAAAGGAAGGGTTACTGTAATAAAAACAAATGTAATATTTTTTTTATAAATATATACATACATATTTTAATTCTGAATTAATTTTCTCGTATATTTTATGTATTCTTTATGGAATCTTATAGAATTTATCGATGAAACTAAAAAAAAAAATATTAAAAACTTTTATTAACTTCTTTTTAAATGATTTTCGGCGCCCCATACATTTCCACAATCAAGGAAAAAAATATTTGTTATAATTAATACGTTTAGTCTTCAACATAGAAGTGAATTAAACGTAAACGTAAATGGTATCCAACCAAAACTCAATTAACTTCAATCTTATATTGGGTTTGTAATTGCAATATATTAATGAACGAACCCTTTGCAATATACATATTAATGAGGCAGATTTAAAATATATTTACATTAGTGTAAAACTTTCCCAACTCTACAAACAACTTTACCTTATGTAAATAATTTTCAAAAAATTTTTTTTTTCATGTTTCCGGATTTTGCAGAAATTGCCTTTAGTTTTAGGCAATATTATTAGTTCTATTATTAATAATTAAAAATGGAAAAGCAATAACTTTATTGCTTAATATTTTTTTTTTAATTGTTTCAAAAATAAAGTTTATCCCAATGGAATAAGAGAATTATTTTTATCCAATAAATTTTAATATTTATTTTATAATTTATAAGAAAAAACAAAAATTTTAAGCGAAAAATTCAACACTCAAAGTTTTTATTTCAAATAATTTTGGTTTCTTATCAATTATACAACAAAATCCTTTTCTGTTTGATTAGAATTTCCCGGTTTTCCTTTTTTCTTTGCAATTCTACTGTGCATTAAATTAGATTTTGATCTTATTAATTCTCTTTCACGCAATTTTTCTAACTCTCTTTTTCTAGTCCTCATATTTAGAGGAAATTTCGTTTTATTATATAATGCTGCTACTAAATTACCACTTTTCAATTTGCCATTTAACTCATAAGATAAGCAACTTTTATGAATTGCGAAAATATGTGCAAGAAATTGTATCAAATGTTGAAACCCACTCTCAAAGCAAACATCACATCGAAAATTAAAAAATTCTGTGGTCGTATCAAAGTCAATAATGGCCAGTTCTATCCAGTCACCTTTAAATTGAATAACTTTCGGAAGCTGACTACGATCTGTTTTCAATTCTTGTCTTAGTTCAGCTTTCTTCCTTGTTCTTTTTTCGAAAACTTTAGCTCTTGTTTCCAACTTCGTTTCAAAGTCTTGTTTAATAGTACTGATATCCTCACTGTATAAATACAATTTTATGATATTTTTTTCACTAGGTAGAAAGATTGTTTTGTGAGATAATCTTAAGTGATTCATATACTTTATGAAAGTCCTAAATGTTTCTGTACACAAAATACATTCAAAGGTAAAAGTTTTGAATAAAGTATATCCAATGTTTACTATTGTGAGAACATCATCTTCTTCAGGAAATAAATCTTCTTCATCTGGATTAGCAATTTCAAATAACTTTTCTGAATGTTTGCTAGTATTACAAACATTTACACCATCTGAAAAATTTTCAACTAAATCGCCGACGGCGTTGATATTGTAACCTTTTTTTGCAACCTTATCACTTGAAGAACTATTTATATCGTCATTTTCCAATTTTGCCCGTTTAAAAGGATTACCTGAAATTGTTGATGTAATACTCCCATTTGAAAAATTGTTTCGTGATGCCAGCTCATCCATACTACCAATTTTTTTGTTAGAAGTTTCATTGGGTTGATCACCAAATTTTTCCTCGGCTTTTGTTAAGGAATGAGGATGAAAAGTACGTAATTTTCCATTGTAAGAAGGATTTGTATAATGGTATTTGCTAAATTGCAACGATTTCTCAATTGATCTATTTAGTGGATCATTTGACTCCCACGGTGCGTCTTTAGAAAATGTATTTTGGGTGCCTGTTTTAGAAAAAAGGGGGTCTCTATCAATCTTCTCCATCCCTCTTGGCGAACCTTCTTCATATGATTTTGGCAAAAATGTGTCCCTTCTGTTTGCATGCCAATTATTTCCACCTGCAATATTCGAATTATTTTCCAAACCAATTGCCATTTTACTTTCTGGCAAGCGATTATGTCCCTTTTCAAAGTTAGTTTTTTCATTTGATGAGCTCATCGTGTAGAAATTTAACTGATCTCCGAAAATCGTGTCCCTGTCTCCGATAAACACATCGCTTCGGTCAAAATTTTTTCTGTCTTTGTTAGCTATATTACTAGAATATGAGGCTGAATCTTCTGAAAAAACTTCTGACCGCCTTCCAAAATTAGAATTAGTTCTATAACAATCTTGACTATGAGATGACTCAACTTCTACCGTTATGTTTTCTCCCACCCTAAAAGGATTATGCCGGGAATTTCTTACGCTATTAGTGTTTGGAGAATTACTGGAGTATGGCTTTGGAAAAATTTCCCTTGATGGCGAATTCTTGTTCAGAAATTCCATACGGGTTTTTATGGGATTTCGAATGTTGGGCTCCAATAATTTTTCCGAAAATCCCTTTCCCTGAATAAACGAACTAAAAGTCACAGGATTTCTTTCTAAAGACAGAGTTCTCCCAAATTTGTTTTCCTCTTCTCCCTCATCTCTAGAAAAGGTTTTAGTTACCAAAATTTTTTGATAAGGCTCTGATTGTCCTTCATAGCGTGTAGCAAGATGTCTATGCCGACTTTCATCTTCAATTCGAGGGCCTTCGTCTTTTTCTAGTTGAAGTTCCCTGCTTCCAAAAATGGATATATTCGGTTTATATGTTGTTTCATCCGAAAAATTATTGTTTCTGAAATCTTTGCTGTCATCAAATAATTCCAAAGGATTGGTCATCCTTTCCGAATGTTTAACACTGGCTAATGGATGATAAGATTCTCTTTCCCCATGTGCACTGGTTTTACGATTGGTGTCCTTCAATATGCTCATTTTGAAACTCTTATCATCTTTAGTATTAAGAATCAGATAAACCCATTCATTTTCAAAATCAAATGAGTGAGAATGAGAACTGCAAAAATGTTGGAGCACTTCTTCAAAACTAAAGAAATCATGATCCTCACATATGTTACATTTAAATCGAAGTTCAAAATCGATGGAAAAATACACAAAAGCCTTGGGTTGCCGATTTTTATAATATTCCTTATTCAAATTGTGTGATCCCGTCTCCTTGTGCATTAAATTATATTTGTACAAGGATAAAAGCCCCCAATTATTATCTTTAACATAAAGAAAAACTCTGTGCTCCGTATTATAGTGGTCCATAAATTTTCCAAAGTTCACAAAAGCAATACTCTTACATATATCACATTGATATTTTATATCCTTGTGATATTTCGATAAACAAATTCTCAACATATTTATTTCTTCTAAGTTATCCGATTCCGTTTGATTCCTTAAAAGTAAAAGTGTATTTTCTACATCCATATTTACCACACAAGAAAATTTGGAAAAAGTGAAATTTATATGAAAATTTTTCGTATTTCACTAAATTGAAATAAAATCACTTTTTATGTAATTCTTCAATTTATTTCTAAAATGAATTATAATTTTAATTTTTGGATAAAAATTGAAAAATTTAACCTTTATTAAAACCTTTCTCTACTTATGCAGCTAATAAATAGCTTGCCTAAATTTTAGAAACCTTTAATGAATAGTACTTGCGTCGTGAGTATCTACTATGCATAACAGAGATGTGACGTCTGCACGAATTAAATTTGCTAGTTATATGGAAAGGCAGTTCTCACCAGAACGCGGCTATACCAAACTTACTATACAAAATTATATCAAGCATGCATCTTCTTTGATAATGATTCATACATGTTTGAATACATTATCGTTTGAGCCATTTTAAATAAAACAACGAAGCTAATTCAAATAAGAAAACTTTTTAGATTATTATAGTCAACAAAAAAATAATAATATTTTTATTGAATATTGCACAAATTTTATTTACACTTTTTATATTTAATTATTTCGAAACACAAAATCAACTGCTTGAAAAAAAGAAAAACATGACTCGTTACAAATTTTAAAATAAGGAACCTAACCTACCATACAGTAGTTATGTCATTATTATACATGGCAACAAATATCTCAAATAACATTAATATAATATTTTTGTATAAAAATTTACATTTTTGTGCATTTTTTACGTATATATTATCTTTACATATTAAATATTTAAAAACATTGCGTAAAAGAATTGTCAACTCGATATTAGAAAACCCTTGTTTTTGAGTAGACTAACAAAAAAAAAAAATAACACTAAATATATTTTCGCAGTTTTTGTTTCATAATAGGTCTGTCTGGATTAAAACTTGAAAAAACTTTAAAAAGAGAAACAATAGCGAAATTTCTCTTGAAAACTTGAAAAAAAATTTAAAAACTTTATAAATACTCGAAAAACTTCAAATTTCAAAATATTTATCAAACATAAACATATATTTTTTGATTATACCAAAACCGAAAATTTTGATTTTGGATTATAAAAGTGTGAAACTTAAAAAAACCATTTGTGTAAAAATTATTGTTGATGAAAAATTTTTTTTTCAAAAATAAAACTTTCAGACACATAACCAAGAAAAACATATGTTTCGACAGCTATAAGAATTGAAGTTTTTAAAACACTAAATTTTACTTTACAAAACTTGAAAAAATTTTAAGCATTGAGAAAATGAGAATGCCATAATATTCTCTCATTTTTGTTCAAAAAGTATTATCCCAGCCATGCAAAAACTTTATAAAGTTTTTAAAAGTTTTTAAAAACTTTCTTATCACAGGCAGACCTAATGTTTCCAATCTGATATGCATGTGTGCATACTTTATACGTAATATACTTTTGCTAATTATTTTAATGATCGTGGTGATGTAGAAATGAATTATGTTCTGCTTAATGTAGTGTCTTGTAATTTAATCCTGTGATCTGTCATATCCTTGTAATTCAGCAAGGTCCTAACTTTAACAAAATTAAAAGTTTATGCCATCAACTAATCTGACATTCAAAAAATGTACACTTGTCAGTTTGTCACTTACACGAAAAATGTTAAGAGAACTAAATAACAAATATCTTGGATTGTATCATACTTTTTAAATATAAGCATTTACCTTAAAGTAAAAAGCATTAATTTATAAGCAAAATTAAATTTTGAAAATTTTTAAGTAAACTAATTTTGATGGTGCATTTATTTTAAAATTAAAAATGGGTGGATTATTTAGTTATTTTCGAGGATTATTAGGATCACGAGAAATGAGAATTTTAATATTGGGGTTAGATGGTGCCGGCAAAACTACAATATTGTATAGACTTCAAGTAGGAGAAGTTGTAACAACAATTCCAACTATTGGTTTTAATGTTGAATCAGTTACATATAAAAATTTAAAATTTCAAGTATGGGATTTAGGAGGGCAAACAAGTATTAGACCATATTGGCGTTGCTATTACAGTAATACAGATGCAATAATCTATGTTGTTGATTCAGCTGATAGAGATCGTATAGGAATTTCAAAAGATGAATTGTTGCATATGTTAAAAGAAGAAGAGCTGGCAGGCGCTATTTTAGTTGTAATGGCCAATAAACAAGATACCGAGGGTTGTATGTCAGTTGCCGAAGTTCATTCTGCATTGGGCCTAGAAAACTTAAAATTTCGAACATTTCAAATATTTAAAACATCTGCGACGAAAGGCGAAGGTTTAGATGAGGCAATGGAATGGTTATCAAATGCTTTAAAAACTAGGAAATAGTCTAGTTTAAATTTATATACCTGTATACTTATACTATAAATAAACATACATATTATAAATCAATAAAAAATAATTTTGTAATTCAAAAAAATCCAGTAAATAATGTAATTGTTATTTAAATTTACTCTATATTGTTTTTTTGTTTTTATTATAAAAGTTATATTAATATAATCGAAACGTACTAAAAATTGTACATTTTTAAAAAATGTAGTTGTAATATACTTATAATTAAATTAGAATAAATAATATTTAAACATTGGCAGAATTTTTCAAAATTGGTAAAAACTTACTTACCTTCATGTACATGAATTTAAGACAATAAGTCGTTTTTCAAAACATTATCACAATTATTTGGTAGTTGAATGTTTTACTTTTGATTATTTATTTAAAATTCATGATTAGAAAATTATATAGCTAATATTTTTGGTAACGGTAATAAAATTAGTTTAATTACTTCTTAAAATAAGGTCATGAAAAATTGTACAAGAATTTTTAAATTTTGTTATAATAAATTCAAAAAACTAAACAATGAAATTATATAAATTATTTAAATAAAAAAGATATTCTCTTAAAGATCAAGCAAATATCATATTTAACATATGTATGTACATAGTTAAATACTTCCATGGTCCTATTTTAAACAATTGCTTTTTAAAAATTTTCTATAAGGTAGAGACTAAGAATTTCATTGGAGCTATGTATTTCAATAGCGTAGTTTTTAAAAAATCTGCTTTACTTACACACATATTACATCATACATGAGTGCATATGGGATATCCGCTTACAAATTTGAATCACTTAGTATGCACTTTCTAAATAAAATTATTATAAGGAAATGAACTAACACGTACATTGGAAATCGTACGGAAACTTTTTAATTAATTTCCTTCAAAAAAAAACTTGTTAATATTTAAATTATGAAAAAAAAAATTTTACGGAAAAATTAACAGTCTATAAGAAAACAAGGTTGATAGGATGCCATATACATACGTACATATGCATGTACATATATACGATCCTTTGGAATCGATATATGTAACCCAAAAATTGATTATATGCACATAGGATGTAGGTACTTTTATACAGCTTTAGAAATTAATTTCTCAGCCTAATTCTAAAACATATGGTTAATATACTTTAACCGCCACTTTAACAGGAGCACTACAATACTTATACATTTATTATATTATGTAATCATTAATTCAAACTGTAATTCAATCATTATTCATTCTGTTATTTTTCAGTTTTTTTGTTGTTTAAATATTATAAAAAGTTTTAAAACTGAGAAAAATTTTTATATTTAAACAAAAAAAGGAGACTTAACTTTTACTTCAAATTTATACATATAATAATAAAAATTTAGGAAATTCCAAAATTTTGTAACGTTCTTGATTTCCACAACAAAGTTAACTTTTTTATTTAAATGTAGTGAACCTTACTCCGTTTAACAAAATAAGTTAAGGAAGGGAAATGAAACGTGTGTCAATCAAAAGGCGGAATTGTCAACAAGTGAGCCAAAGTCGATAAGAAACATAATGTATAAAAAGAATAGAAGTTTGGAGCCTAGCTAAATTCGTCTAACAGTAGAAATTTTTTTGTTTTTACATGAATCATGGGTTATAAAATGCGTTTTTAAATTAATGTTAACATTTTGTGCTCAAAAAAATTTTACATATACATTTGAACATATAAAAAAAACATAAACTTATAATCAGTTATCTTTTTAAAAAAAAAACATAACAGGTTTGTCTTGCGAACCTGTTTTTTTTTTATACCAAAAAATATTCATGCTGTTCCATCTCTATACAAACACAAATTTTATTTTAGATCTTAAACTATTTTGACATTAAAAAGTGTAAATTTGTCATTTTTTCAGACTGTCACTTGCACGAAAAATGTTCGACAAACTCAATAATATTAGAATTAAATAATTTAGTAAATTATTTCACTGTTCTTAAACATACATTTTTAACATAAAACGAATAAATTTAATAATTTAGTTTCTTTTTGTTTTGAAAGTTTTCAAAATATTTAATTAAACTTGTGCATTTATATTATTAAGTATCGAAAAATGGGTGGACTATTTAGTTATTTTCGAGGATTATTAGGATCACGAGAAATGAGAATTTTAATATTGGGTTTGGATGGTGCCGGCAAAACCACAATATTGTATAGACTTCAAGTAGGAGAAGTTGTAACAACAATTCCAACTATTGGTTTTAATGTTGAATCAGTTACATATAAAAATTTAAAATTTCAAGTATGGGATTTAGGAGGCCAAACCAGTATTAGACCATATTGGCGATGTTATTACAGTAATACAGATGCAATAATTTATGTTGTTGACTCAGCTGATAGAGATCGTATAGGAATTTCAAAAGATGAATTATTATATATGCTAAGAGAAGAGGAACTAGCTGACGCTATTTTAGTTGTAATGGCAAATAAACAAGATACAGAAGGTTGTATGTCTGTTGCTGAAGTTCATTCTGCATTGGGTTTAGAAAATTTAAGGTATCGTACCTTTCAAATATTCAAAACATCTGCGACGAAGGGCGAAGGCTTAGATCAAGCTATGGAATGGTTATCAAATGCTTTACAAACTAGAAAGTAGTCCCTGAATATTTTTTATAATTTAATGTTAAAAACAACCAAAATATTATTCATAAAACAGTAACGATGATTTTATATTGCGATGAAAATCAGAAAATGTGTAAATTTATTTAATTTATTTTTAATTATATATTTTTTTATTTGTTTTCTTTTTTTTGTTTTTTTGTTACTGAAAAATAAATAATTTGTAATAATAAAAATTATGAATACCCATTCATTACATTGAAAATTGTGTCTTCAAAAGTTTAAATTTGTACGATACCTACCCGGTATTTTTAAATATAGTTAATGTGGGTGTAAAATTTACATTTTAATTGAAATCTTAAAATTAAAGTTTTATAAGATTTATTTTAAGAAATTCATAACATGCTTTTCAATACATTCATAAAAAAAAATTAATTTATAGTTATATTCTAGATAAAATTAAGATTTATTTCAACAATTGAAACAAAAATGTATATTATTAAGAATTGTAAATGAAGTGTTCGCCAATAATAATTTTATTATCTTCACCTTACAACAAGAGTATATTAATATTTAATAATAAGATAGCTTCAGAAACTTCAAATTGCTACCTTACGTACATACCTAACTTCGATTTCAAATAAATTTAAATTAATTAGAACAAAAACATGCAATAAAAAATTTCTTTATGTATTTGAAGATTTAGGTGCATACATATTTGAACAAATTATTCTACAAAGTTTCATCTAAATGTAAGATTTCTAACTTTTTTTAAGATTTTTGTGCTAACGCAAATAGAAATGAATAGGCTAATATGAGCTAAGCTTTTAAAACTAAAGTTAATCAAAAATGTAAATTTAGAACTTTTTAATAATTATATTAATTAGATATAAATTTTATATCTTCATGTTTTATTTGAATGCCAACAACCATAACAAAAAGTTTATAAATTAAATTATGTAGGTACCTGCCTACCTACCTACATACCAACACCTCAAATATCAAATTTCAAATGTCCCTGCCCAAGTATGAAATAATAATTCAACTACCTCAATATTATATTCTTACAAATATAAAGTTAATGCTCTACTTTTTGAATTTAGTCAATACAAAATCAATTTTAAAATAATGTGAGTATAAATAAGTAAAAAACAACAATAATAAATAAGAGAATTTGCAGTCTATTCATAAGGGCAATAAAAATTTGCAAGAAACAAGAGAGAAAAAATAATCCAGTTTAAATTATACCATGTGTTTATTATTTCAGAATGATTTTATACCTTACTGAGACAGCGAAACGTAAACAGTAACTGTTAAGGTAATATTTTTTTTTTCAATTTTTGCTTGTATTTTAACTTATTGAGTACCTTTAGTATAAATTTGACCTTAATAAATTGAAAGTGTTCAAAAATTTGTTACTACATTTTTAAAACAAAAATTAAATTAATCAAATTAATAATCTAATTAATAAAAAATTCCAGTAAATAACGTACGAGTGATATTATGGATTATAATAATGAGTGTATCACTAGGAATAAAATCCAAAATCAATATCATCAAACGAAAGGTTCCAATTACTTAGAGAATCAGTTGCAAAATAAAGAATTTTTAAATTCTTTTGACAAGCAATTTTCATTTTATGAACGTTTATTAAGCAGCAAAGTTAAAAAGAATAAATGCTATAAAAAAACAATAGGAGAAGATTCTTTATTACAAAAAATATTTAATACGAATTTAAATAAAAACAATGTACACGTAAAATACACTATCAAATTGAATAATATAAAAGATCCTTGTGAAAAAAGAATAATTGTTGGCGATGATATGAAAAAATTAATTGAATTTCAAAAACCTTTTGTAAAAAACAATAGTAAATCTAATGTTGACTTTGAATATATAGGTAGAACTTCAACACCCCGTAAAGGAAAACTTTTTGAATCCGGCATTTTTGAAGACATATTTTTTACTAAGCCAAATTTGATAGATTATGAAAATAATATTGAACCTCAAAATCAGAATGTTAACAAAAGTATTAATAAAATAAACCAAGCTCAGGAATTTATAGATTCTACGTCTACAACAGCAAATTCAAATCGAAATATTCTACAATATTCCACAGGAACGAAAAATTTAAATTTTTTAAATCAATCGGATGATAAAAATCATAATCAATCTAAGGGAATGCAAATGAAAAATAATATGATTACAAAAGTGACATGCAAATCAACTAATTTGAATAATAAAAGTCTTAGGAAATACATTATTGAACAATCTAAAATACCATGCAGTCCAGTTGAATTTCCAACCGTTTTGAAAAATTTAGAAAAAAACCGGAATTTATCCAGTAACTTAACAAAGAAAAATAATTTTAATAGTGCTGAATGGTCTGTAAAAGATAAAATTTCTTTTTTCAACAAACTTGGCAAAACCGATCAATATTCAAAAATAAAAGAAATGTTTTCTGCTCCTCAAATGGAAATCAAGAAATCATCATTTTTTAATGAAAATAATAATCGTAATTTAAAATCATTCAATTCAAAAAATGATATTCCAACCAATAACATGGAAACAAAAAATGATTTTTCAATTAAAACTAAAATTGCTGCATTCGAATCACTTTGTAAGAGAAATTAATTTTATTTAATTTTGAATTTATATTGAGGAACTATAACTTTATAGTTTTTATAGCATAATTTAATGAGATTTTTCAATAAACGTAAAATTTATTTAAAATAAATTATGTACTTAATTTGTATATTAAATTAACAAAAATAAAAAATAGGTAGCACCTACTTGAAAAAAGGAAGACTTAAAAAATCATTCAACAAAATTATAATTTTTGAAGCAACCAACACATAAGCCTTTCATGGAATTTTATATTTTTAACAAACTATTAGAATTAAGAACTTTAAAATAATTTATTTATCAATACTATTTAAGTTTTGTATTAGTAAAAAAAAACCACATAAATAGGCCCAATAACAATTGAATTGAATCGTGTTTGTGCAGTTTAGTTTTATATATCAGCTTTCATAAAATTATCTGATAATTTTACTTGTTCTCCTGGTTTGAAGGCCGGCATACCCAAATATGGACATGATGAACATCGAAAAGCATCGCCAAGATAACACTACAATATAATATGTAAATAAATATATTGGATGTTTAAATTTTCATAATTCTTTTAACGTACGCTTCCACAACTCGATTTTGCGTTTTGTGTATTTTCAGCAGCTTTTTGTCTTGCTTCTGCATCCAACTCTTCAGCTAAACCACAGACACAATTTTTGCATGCTTTTCTTTTACCCGTTGTTCCGCACACTAAAACGATACATATATCATGCTAAATTTTATATCAAATGATGAATTAAGAAAATGTTATACCTTTTAAAGACTCAGGGTTAGGTTTTTTCAAATCTTCTTCATCTAATAATGAGTCTGGATCAATAGTCTCTTCATTGTCATCAGCATTTACTTTCCACACAGCCGCTATTTTGTCTTTATCTGTCGCATTGTTTTTATTAGCAAATGATAATTTCACAGATGATCCAATTTCATATTTAGGTTTTTCGCAATAAACTATTGTTCCATCCATTCTTTCTTTCACAAAACCTGATAATTTTAATTCGGAAAGTAATCCATCAGACGCACCATTATATTTTTCTATGCGCAATATTCCAGAAAGTTTTAGAAGTTTTAATATTTTAACCAAATCTTCCTCTTTAAAATTAGCAGTATTTAAGATGATGAAATCAAAATTTGAATTGGAATGCGAAGCTAATAATTAAATTTATAAATAAATAAATTTTTATTTTATAAAGAGATTAATTAGTTACTAAATAATAATCTTTCGATGTTTTCCACTAAAATATCGCCAGTAATTAAATTTTTCCACTCATTAACAGCTTTTTCTAGATCTTGTGAGGAATCAGGTCCCCATATATACAATAAATTTTTAATATCTTTTAAATTTTCCATTTTTTTAATAAAGTAAAAAAGTATAGTTTTTAAGAAGTTTTATGAAATATCGATAATGAACTCTAAAATCAGAACAATTCTTTCTTTTGTTTAGTATAGCTATGTACATACATATGTATTTGATTTACTTCGAAATAGCAATATCATGTCACGTTTCAGCAACATTTGATAAGCGGAAACAATAAGTTGCTACCGCAACCGATAGAGCAGTTTATTGCTTGCTTTAATACCAAAAATGAAAATTTGAAAACAATTTAATAAAAAATGGAAAATTGAAAAAAATTATGTTTAAATATTTTAACGCGGGTAGGCAGATTATTTCGTAATTAATTTATTATAAATCAAAGAAAAGGTGTCATTGTTTGTACAAATGTTTTCTTTGATTTCGCCTAACTTAACCTTATTCAACAAATTAACATTTTTGGTTGTCATAGCTGTCATCTGTAATTTTTTACTTACCAACTGAAATATTGCTCTACGTTTTTCATGTAATAAAGTTGTTTTTTAGTATTAATGTGGTTTGATGCATAGTTATACTAAAACTCTTAGGTGATCGAATAAATGAAGTTAATTAAATAGATCGGTTAAAAAGGTTAATTTTTCACTAAATTTGACAACACTAAAATTTTGCATGAAATTCGAATGATGTGAACAAACCTTATGACAGTAGAGTTTTTCTGATTTTGTGGTTAATGAAAATTATTTTAGAACCTTTTGTGTGACTAAATTACATATGCACAAATTTTATAAAATTAAACATAATTAAAAGCAAAATAATATAAAATTCAATTAAAAATGGCTGCAACAGATATGGAACTAAGAAAGGTATAAAATTTGAAAATTTATTTCCCGTCCAAAACGATAATTTAAAATAAAAAAATTTTATTCTAGGCTTTTGCCGAAATGCAATATAATAAAATGGAAACAACGAAAAAAATCAAAATGATTGATATGCAATCTGAAGTTTTTAAAAAATCAAAACAAAAATACATTATAACAGAAAAAGGTACCAGTGATTTAGGACCAGAAGCTAGGTAAAAATACTCTTCTTCACACTTCGTTAATATGCATATAGAATACATTGCTTCTTTTATTTTAGGGTATACATGTCAATCGGTAGAATGTTTGTTTTATCTGATGTTCCGGAGATGAAATCTGAATTGCAAGCAAAAGCTGATAAATGCGAAACTCTTATAACGCAATTAAATGAAAAAAAGGAATTTTTATTAAGGTCGTTAAAAGAGCAAGAAGATAGTTTAAGAGAATTAGTCCAACAAAAACGGGATGCTAAATAATAAAATTTAAAAATTAAATTATTTATAAAATTTTTATATTTTTTGCTTTAATTTTATGTAACAATAATTTAAATATTAAAATTTGCATATGTAACAAACTCATTACCTAAATTTCTTTCATGTTCAGGTTTATAACTCTGTTTTGTTAACCCCAAATATTTTAAAACGAAAGTTTCAACTACTGCACCAGAGCAAAATAAAATCTTTGTATCTGGTTTAGCCAATTTCTTAACAATAAGAGAAATGTTTTGAATACAGTCTTCAGACAAAAACGGTGGATCTGCTATTATTATATCGAATAAGTTTGAATATTCTTGTAAGTAATCTTCTATTTCAGCATTATTTATGTCATAATGAACAAAATCGGATCCATAAACAGAAAATCTTTCATCATATTCAAAAATTTTTGCTAAAATTATATAAAATAAAGTTTTAGAATAACTAGATAGGTACTTAGTTGATAGAGGAAAGGAAGTACCTACTTCTTTAATTCTTTATAGGTTTTTTAATATATACACATAACTTACTGCATTTATGAATAGCTTTTACTGTCTTATATATAGAAGGACACGATAAGAGTGCTATTCTTGTATCCTCACTTTTAATTAAGTTTTGAATTATCTTCGTTAAGTCATTTTTTGTTTTTTCATTATACCAAAATTGGCTAAGTTGCTAAAATTAATCAATTTATCAAATACTTTTACATTATATATTTTTTTTACCCAGTTCTCTTCTATTTTTGCCTCGGCATCCTGCTTCTTGATCAAATCATCTTCTAACTTTTCTTTAAGTTCCTTTTCAGCTAATAATATAAAATGTGCATTTTGAGAATAAAATTGAAATAAAACTTTGACGCAAACCTAAAAATTGATTGAGAATTCTAAGGGTATCTGGTGGCAATGCAATTTCTTCATCATTCAGACTTTCCATTTTTATTATATTTTATTTTAAAATACGTAATATTTTGTTTATTAATTTAATTCAAAATTTACAAAATTGTTTTGTGTATAAAGCAATAACATGTTTTTTTGTCTTTTGTTTCATTACTGGCATTTCACCTCTGAAATTTTTTAACACATTGACATTAACACATCTTCTGACAGTTGATTCAATAAAATTAGTAAATGAAAGTGTACTTGAATACCGACTAAAGAGTAGTCCCCTTAGATCAAAATATCATATTTAAAAAAATAAATTTAAAAAATTCTAAAAATTTGAATTGGTGGCAATAAAAATAAGTTGTATTTATTTCAGTTATAAAATAATTTTTCCTTCGACTTTTACCAAAATGTGCTTAGTCCGGGCTCAATAATTGGTACTTTAGGGTTAATTATTGTACAATGGCAATAAATGGAAATGACACAATATATTTCGGGTTTTGACTTTTGTCACTGACATTTCATAATAACCAATTTATATTTCCTAATTTCTTATCAAAAGAATCAAATATAGTTCGAAAAATAAAATTAAACAAGATACTAGAAAAGAAATGATAGAAAAAGTAAAAAATGTTATTTTAGTACTTTCCGGTAAAGGAGGTGTTGGCAAATCAACCGTTAGCGTTCAACTGAGTTTGGCTTTGAAAGAATCTGGTTATAAAGTTGGTTTGCTTGATATAGATTTGTGTGGACCGAGTATACCATATCTTCTCGGCTTAGAAAACAGTGAAATATATCAATGTGAAAATGGATGGCTTCCTGTTTATACAAATGATAATAGGGAAAACTCTTTAGCTGTTATGTCAATTGGATTCCTTTTAAAAAATAAAAATGAAGCTGTTATATGGCGCGGACCAAAAAAGACGGCTATGATCAAGCAATTTTTAAATGACGTTGAATGGGGTGAACTAGGTAATCGAATATGTATATTCCAAATTCAAAATTTTTATAAATATATTTGTTCCACAGATTATTTAATTATTGATACTCCACCGGGTACATCAGATGAACAGTAATTCAATGCATAATTAGTAATAAATTTATAAAAAAGGAATTTATTTTATTTCAGTATAACAATAATGGAATGCATGCAAAATTTCCGATCTGATGGAGCGATAATTGTAACAACACCACAACAAGCTGCCTTAGATGACGTTAGGAAAGAAATAACTTTTTGTAAGAAAACAAAAATTCCAATTTTAGGTATCATAGAGAATATGAGTGGATTTGTATGTCCACATTGTTCAAATTGTACCAACATATTTTCTTCGGATGGTGGAAAAGCTTTAGCTGAAATAGCTAAAGTTGATTTGCTTGGAACATTACCAATAGACCCAAGAATCGGAGTTTTGAAAGGAACAAGTTGTTCTGTTATAACAGAGCTACCAGATACAAGTACTGCTAAAGTTTTAAAAGATATTGTTAAAAATTTAAACAGTAAATTACAATAAAAATTTTGTATGATTTCTTAATAACCTAGTTTGTGCCGAGGCTGTTCATATTAAAATCACCTTTTAAAATGTAAAAAAATCAAAATAAGTTTCATAAGAAATAAGGTTGGTTATTGTTAGGAATATTTCACAAGTTCCAATTCAATATTTTAGCTTTTGAAATACAAGCAAATCAATCGTGTTTTAGTGCAATATACCATGTTGATGTTGTTAATAGCATTCAATTGGGAATAAAATTATTTTATTTTATGTTGATTGATGTAATTGGATTTAATTCACAATTTCAATGTAAAATAAAAAACAAAATGTCTTACAAGACTTTACCAATCCTATCTTGATAAAGTGAATTAGTTTTACAAAAATGTAACACTGAGGGAAAATAATTATTTTATAGCGTATTTAATATTTTTCTCAGAACCTATGCAAAATTTAGTCACCCATTTATTCATTTTGTTTTCAAATTTTACGGCAAATTTAGTCGGTATTTTGAAAAAACAAAATTCTTTGGTAATCTAAAGTGAAATATTGGCATATCAAATCAAAGATAAAATGACACATAATAAAGTGATAAACTGATTAAGGATTTCTGATGTGAAAATAAGTAAAATGCAATTATGTGCTTTACAAATCTCGATTTCTGAAAAAAAAGCAATATTTTACACATGCCAAATATTATGTCATATGTGAACACTGGCCTTAATTCAATAATGTCATTTTCTTTTTATAAATATTCAGAAAGCTTTTTTTTTGCTTATTGTTTTTCTTTTTTTTTTTTTTGCTAATATTTCTATGCGATACAAATTATAAACGTCATTGCAAACTAACACATCTAAACAATTTTTATACAAAAAAGTTCAAAACAACTTTTTCCTGTAAAAATATTAAAGAACAAAATAACAAAATAAACAAAGAAAATTAATTTTTTTTTTCAGATTTTTCTTCATCAGTTTAATTAAATTGATGGTATCGTTCTGTTCGGAATCTCGAAACAAAATTTTTTTTAATATAAATAAAATCAAAGTTTAATAAATTAATTTTTGATTAACATAATTTCAGGTGTTCATTTAAAATTTAATTTAATAAAAAAATATATTAAATTGATTTTATATATAAAAAAAAAAATAAAAACCTATTATTAAAAATCTTGAAAAAATAAATAAACGAATTTTTTGTGAAATTTGAAAAAAATAAAAAAATATTGTGCAATAATAAAACAACAAGAAAAATAAAAAAAAAAAAAAGTTACTCATATTAAAATTTACTAATACGTAGAAAGAAAAAGAGAATTGCTTTTACAGACAAGTGTCAAAACAAACCCAACCAACAAAAATTTCGAAAAAAAAAAAGTGATTAATTCAAAACTCAGCAATTCGGCTAAGCAAGAGGATTTCACAAAAATTAAATTAGAACCAAAAAAAAAGAAATATTTTTTTAAATAATTAAAAATAAATATACGTATATATTTTTATATTTTTAAATATAATTAAATTATATATTTCTTGGAAAATAAAAATTAACTAATAATTTTTGTACCTACATTACATACATTTCTAAAAAAAAAAAAAGGAATATGAGTGGATATAAAATCAATTTCAACCAAGATTTTTCGTAAGTAAAATTATTATTATTGTATGGATGTATGTATATGTATGTATATGCATATATGTATAATGTCAAATTTTATTTTTAGCTACATTATTACTCATTTAATTTAAAGTTATTACAAAAAGCAACTTTTTTTTTTTTGTTCTCGTTAGAATAAATGAAAATTATTATATAAATTTTTTGTATTAAAATATAAAAAGTTTTGAAAATTACAAAACACAAAAATATCAAAATTTCTTATAGGTGCTCATATAAGCTGAAGTGACATTATGTATATTGTACGTAATACATATTAACAATCATATATGACATACATATGTTGTATACTTTTGTTCTTGAGTGTGTTATATATTTTATATTGTCATTGTCAATTAAAAATGAACAAGTTTTCCCCAACAAACAAAACTATATTTACATTATGTACAAATTACAAAACATTACCTATTTTTATCTAATGACAATTTAATAAGTTTTGATTTAAATAATATTGCTGTAATGTTTAGAAGTATGTATGTATACTTCTTTATAATTTATATAATTTCATATAAAATAGAATCAATATATTTTGTAATACAAATATGTAGGTAAAGAAGAACATTAGATCCGGCAATAAATTCTTTTGCAGTAAACTATAGAGCAATGGTTTCTATTTCATTTTATTATACATTCTGTAGTTACAGTAAAATAAACATTTACATGTACTCGTACATAAGAAGATGTGGGAAATTGGGGATGTGAAAAATTAAATATTGCATATTTGACATAATAAATTACATTTGGATTTCTATTGTGTTGTCTTATTTACTTTTAATAAATTATAAGAATGTTAAAAACATACTTAATATGCTGCATTAAAAATCATTATATTTACATACAATTATATACTTATGCGGGTAGTAGATAGTATAGTATTCAAAATGTATACATATAACAATTATATGTAAAAACGGAATATAGATTAACTACTTATTAATTTATTTAATTTTTAAAATCAAATATTGGTTGTTACATCATATTATCTTAAATAAATCACAATACAACATACATACGTAGTTTAAATAGATAGGTACATAGGTGGTTATTAGAACATTACTTTTGTTGATAATAATTTGTCCATTTGTTTGTCCGTGTTTTCTTGTTGTGATTCCATGCAAAATTAATAAAAAAAAAAATAGTCCTGTAATTATTGGAGAGTCCTCAAATATGGTTATAATTAAGATACCTACTTGTTTTTAAATAATAAATTCCGCTAACTCAATAAATATTTAATTTTACCCATTTTGAACCGCTAAAGTTTTGTCTAATTAATTTTGTTGGAATTAATAATTACTATCTGTATAAGTACATAAATATTTTTTGCATGTAATTTTTTTTAAAGCACTAAATTCTAAACTAGAATTAATTTATTAATTATTCAATTAAAATGTTATTTAAAATTTAATGATTGAATGAAAAAAAATTCTTGTCTAAATTTGTATTATGTACCTACATACTTACATACAAATACCCAGGTAGCATATTATTATTTTATAACATGCAAGTAATAAGTTAGTTCAAAAATAAATTTTGAAATTTTCAAAAAAATTTCTTTGTCATTTTATTATTTTCGCTTTAATAATTTTTACGTTAATATTTGAGTTGCGAATTTTTCAAAAAATAAAGAGAAACTTTTCTTAGCAAAAGTTTATGAAAAAAAAAAAAAAATTGAATAAAGTAAAAAATTAATAATGCATAATTTAATACAACAAAATAAAGCTACTAACCATAGTAAAATTTTAAAGGCAACTTTATTATATACAGGGCACCAGATCTTTCACAATTCGGATTAATTGGCTCAAATCAAGATGATGATGATAATGATAGTGATTTAGAAGCTGAATTAGCTGCTCTAACATCTGGTCAATCGAAATCTCCAGCAAAAAAACCCAAAACAAAATCAGTTGTAAAACAATCCGAATTGGATAGAATGGTAGCTGAAAGTTTAAAAGATATAAATGATGATGATATTTCTGATGGTGATGATGATCCAAATTTATTAAATGAGTTACAAGAATTAACTGGTGATGATGTTGAAACAGAAGAAATAGAAGAATCTCAAAATCAAGAAGAAATAGAAGATTCATCACCAAAATTTGAACCGACAACTACAACTTCAATTATAAATTTATTAAATGAGCGTATTGAAATGTATAAAATAGGAGAGCAAAATGCAAAAGCAGCGAATGAGGCTAGTAAAGCACGTCGTTTTAATAGAGCCTTAAAAACTTTACAAGATCTTTTAAAACAAGCTAAAGCTGGAAAAACCATCAATAATGAAGATATACCTCCAGAAATTGCAATCAAAACACCTTCCTCCCAAGCAGATGATAATGCAAATGATATAGTTTCCACTAGTCCTAAAGTAACTCCAACTAGTCCTGTTATTACGCCTACTTCAAATAATGATCCCCAACAAGATAAAAAATCAGATGAAAGTTCAGTCAACCCTAAATTAGTGCAACTTAAATCTAGGCAACAAGAGTATAAAATAGCAGCACTTCAAGCAAAACGTAACGACGAAATTGAAAATGCTAAACAATTTGTCCAAATTATAAAACAATTTGATGCAGTTATAAAAATGGCAGAAAATGGAGAACCGGTAGATCTTAGTGATATGCCACCACCTCCAGATCAGCTGAAAGAGTTTTTAGCTAAACTAGAAGCTGGTGAGCAACCAACTGCGCAAAGTGAACCATCAGAAGTTAAAAGACCAGCTCCACCCCCTCCAATTCCCTCACCAGAAAATGAGCCAAAAAACTTGCTTGGGGCCTTGGAACATCGTTTGAACATTTATAAAGCACAAGAAGAAGCAGCAAAAAATGAAAATAATTCTAGTAAGGCAAGAAGATTCGGGAGAATTGTAAAGCAGTATCAGGACGCAATAACAATGCATAAACGTGGAAAACCAATCGCATCTGATGAATTACCTATTCCGCCTGGCTATGGTCCATTACCAACCGGTAGTGGACAAGGAAGTACAGCATCAACAGGTGCCAGTACACCAGCTGAAAGTGCAAAAACTAGTCCAGCAAAAAGTCCAACTGTTGTATCACCTGAAAAAACTTCTACTGAAGATAATAATAATAAAAAAACTCCTCCAAAACGAGAATTAACTACAAGAATTTCAGGAAATCAAGTAAGCACAAATTTAGCCGAAAGGCAAATGCAAATTTTACTTGAAAGGCAAGCTGAATTTAAAAAGGCTGCTGTTGAAGCAAAAAAAGGTGGTGAACTAGAACAAGCAAAAGAATATCTGAAAATATATAAAGGTTTTGAAAGTTTATTAAATGCTGCAAGTAATGGATTACCAGTTGATTTAAGTACACTTCCAATACCACCAACACAACGAGGTCAATTAGAAGATTCATTTGCTATTGTATCTGCAATAGATTGTGAAGATATTCAATCAACAGGTGATGGAAATGATGATAATGATGAAGTTGGCATGAGTATTCGTTTAGAAGAACAACTTGCAAAACAATTAATGATGTGTAAAAATACAAGAGATCATCATAGAGCTATGGGTGATGTTGCTGGTATGAATCGTTTTGAAAATTTAGCATTAACAGTTCAAAAAGAACTTGATCTTATAAGGTTTTCGAGGAAAAAAAATATACCAATACCAAAATTTCATTATGAAAAACGAAGTTTTAATATAGTACATTGTAATACAGATTTAAATGATAATGAAATTGAAGTAAATATAATACGTGGTATTTCATACAATGTAAAAAATCCAAAAGATGTTGATACATATATAATGACTGAATTTCCATATCCAATTGATAGTCATTTTACAGCAAAAACATCAACTATTAAAAATACAGCATCACCAGATTATGATCAAAAATATATAATTGAAATACAAAGATCAAATCGTCAATGTCAAAGAATATTTAAACGTCAATCAGTTAAATTTGATATTTATTCTAAAGGTGGTTTTTTTCGTTCTGATACATTAATTGGTACAGTTAATGTTAAATTACAACAATTAGAAACAAAATGTGAAATACATGATACATATAATGTTATGGATGGTCGTAAAGCAACTGGTGGTAAACTTGAAATTAAAATTCGTTTAAGAAATCCAATTTTAACAAAACAAATTGAAAAAATTGATGAAAGATGGCTTGTTTTAGATATTTAGAAAAATGAAATTTTAAAAAGTAAATGAAAAGATGAAATTATATTTGAAAATTCTTTTTATTTTATAAATTTATTGCATTAAATATTAAGTAATAAAGAAAAAGAAAATTAATATTTGATACATTAAAATGTATTTGAAAAATAAATAAAATTATTGCCTTAATTTTGATAAAATAAATAGATACGTATACATATTGTAATATCAAGCACTATTTTATTTAATTTCTTTTTCATTTTATAATATAATATTGTAATATTGTTATTAAAATATTGGAATGTTTAATTCTTAAGAAAAATTAAAAAATAAAAACATAATAATAAAATTATAATAATCTATTAATTTCTTTTATAATAATAGCTTTTCTTTTTTGTTATATTATTAAATTAAAGAGAGAAAAAAGGAAAAATTCTATTTTAAAATATAAAATTGAATTTTATTCAACAATTTATACCTGAAGAATTTCAATTACTAAATGCAACATCAGAATATTAGTAAAAGTTAAAGAATACATTTATGATTTTTTGATTTTTACTATTTAATTGTTTTGCAATACATATTTATTTTTCCAATATTGTAAATTTATAATAGTTTGTTACAATTGCTTTAAAATTCTTATTTAATTATTCCCTTTTATACATAATTGTTTTTCTTTTAATTTTTCTCTTAAATTACTTAACAAATACTTATAAATTTTAGTTATTATATTCTTAATTTTAATAAATTTTATTAAGTATTTTTACTATTTTTAAATTATTGTAATAATTATGTATCAATATTAAATATTTATTATAGAATGAAAGATTTTCCTATTATTAAAATATAAAACTGTAATATTAATTAATTTTTATTTAATTATTTTCCAAAAATTTTTTTCTGTTATTTTTACATTGTTAAAACAAAATAAAAATATATATTGCATGTACGTATTTTATAACATAGCTATTTAAAAAAAAAAAATTAAAAAAAAAACATTTTTTTTTTCGAAAATTTCACCAAACCAGATTCGAACCCATGTTCACATCATCTATACTGTTTTTAAACAATACAGTCTATGCTCTACGCTACTTCATATGTTATGATTAAATTGCTAAAATATGAAATAAGAAAGCTTATAATTTCGTTTAAATTTTTAAAATATAAGTATAAAAATAGATTTCTTTTTTATCTGGTGATTAAACACAAAGTATGTATGTATATACATATAGTATCTATTTTCTTTGTGAATTAATCTCAGGTTCTTTAGTTATACATATACAATCATAATATTATTTTGATTCCTAATTTGTATCTGTGGGTAGTAGAATGGTGTAGCTATACAATCCAGAATGATTCATTATTAAATTAAATTATAATAAAAAATTTGGTAAATATTTGTATATATGTACAAAAGCAAAAATTATGTCACTATGTTTATCACCTTGATACTGGATTTATTGATATTTTAATTATTCAACATACGTAAGTAATATATGTATAAAAACAAGAAAAAAAGAACATAGTGTCTTCTTTTTTAATAAGCTTTCTTGTGCGTAACTACAAATTTTGTGTGTTAAAAACACTACGCTATTGTATACACATAAGTATGTATAAAATTTAATAAAATATTATAAAATGTAAATAAGCTATCTACATATATTGAAATAATAGAAACTGGTTTGCCTTTATAATTTTCAAAAAAAAAATTTTCTTTGTTTAAAGTTTTAGAGATAAAACAAAAATGTATTTAATAAAATTTTATAAAAGCATTTAACTATATGTACATCTATATATATATATTTTATAATAAAAAAATATAATCGTAATATTCATACCTACATACTTAATTATTAGAAAGCTTTTTTTTTCTTAAATATTATAATAAATGTTGTGTATACGCAAATTCTACACGGGTGATGTTGTTTTTATTTTTTTTTTATCATTAAAGCGATTAAATAAATGAGATTTTGAAGAAAAAAAAATCGATGTTTTTGTTTTCTTCTGTTTTGGAAAAAAATTTTTTTTTAATAGCAAACAAAAACGTAAATATTTTGTATAAACAAAAAACAAAAATTACAACGTAAAATATTTTAAAAAAAGAATATGTTTTTTATTTAAAAAAGAAAATCTATGATGCTTACATTAAACATTTAATATTGAAATCATAGTAAAAATTTATGAAAATCATAATTTTTATGGGAAATGCATTATTTTTGAATTAAATTTTGGAGAGAAACAATAGACATATTTAGCTTACAAGTTGTAATTTCTGCACGGGGAATCCCACATAAATTATATTTTGTGTAAATTTTAAAGGATATGAAAAGGTTCTTGGCACATTAATTAAACAAATTCAAAATTGCGATGAAACAAGAAAAATATATGGGACAGAATATTGTTATACAGAAGATTCAATTCACGGAACAGCTTGTTGTACGAAACAACTATCTTTCTTTAACTATCTGTCACACATAATTAAAAAATGCAAAGTACCTCTGTAATTTTAAAAAAAAAATAATATTGTTTAATTAAATTTTTTAATTATTTTGTGTTATAATTTCTGTTTTATTCAATAATTTTTAATTTTTAATTTAAGGTAAGTGTAGCTAATACTGACAGTGGCGGTAATACTGACATATATGAGGTTTTTTATAATTATTAAGAGATTTTCTCTATACAACATATATATATATTTTTATTTCTAGATTAATTCAAATTATCGCAATACTTCCTTTTATTTAGTTTTGAAATAACTCCAAAATATTGAACATAAATCAGTTTTGTTTCCATAGACATAGCAATGGTGGGTTGAATTGGAGAATTTCTTATACTTTTTGCTTAATTTTTCCGATTTTGTTTTTATTGCTTTTTGACTTATTTGAGGGTTAAAAATATGTATATGAATTTATATTAAATTAAATATTTTGATTATTTTTTATCTTATTTTATAAGTAAATCGGAGTAAAAACATTAAATAAATAAGAATTTTAACAAATAATTTCTGTCAGTATTAGAAACATCTAAAATTCGACCATGCTTCTATTACTGACATATGTATCAGTAATACGTCAAAAATCCGTATTTTTATAAATTACGTCATTTTTAAAATATTTAAATTTTTATTTTCGTATTTATTTAATTAAAATCGAATTTGAATTTTCTTTCTAATGTCCGAATTCTGACACTAAGAATTTACTACAGGTTCGGAGTATTTTACCTTTAAAAACTGGTGTCAGTAATACGATCTAAAGAGGGTCAATATTATGTACAAAATTATGTCAGTATAAAGTTTTAATTTTGATATTCACTTTAATTAATTAAAATAATTTCTTTATACTTTAAAATTGTTTAAACTATTTCAGTCAAATGAAAATCGATTACATTTGTGAAAACCTATATCTGACTACGACCTTTTTACCTTTTTAATAGTGATATTCGTCTAATAAATTGTGTATCAATATTGTATACAATACTGTCAATAAAACAGTACAATTCGGTTTCTAAAAAAATGCTTTAAAATTACTGTAAATGTTAACGTCATAACAAATATCACAACGGAAATGGTTCTCTTTAAATAAGAAAAGTAGTCCTTTTTAATAACCCAAAATGTTGTTCTAAAAATTGAGAATGGGTTGCTTTCGTTACGTACTTAATACATAAATAGTCTTTGTTAAAGCAAAAAGCAGCTTTAGAATATATTGATCTGATTTCTTATAATTTCGTGTGATATGGTACATCATATTTTAGGTATTATTTATAAGAATACATTTGTAGCAAATATTAATTATAATACTTTATAAAATATTATGTAATTTCGAATTAGATTTTCATAAATTTCTTTTAAAAATTTTTATTTATTCATTGTTGCATATTAAGACTACTAGTAAAAGTACATTCTACAGTAATAATAGATTCAAATCAGCTGAATTCCACATATTTTTCCCTTTAATTCAATAAAAAATATGTTTTTTATTTTTGTATGAATTATATTTTGATTCATTTTTAATTTTTTTTTTAAATAAAATGACATATCCGTAGAAATCTAAATTATTATTCCATTTTTATTGAATATTATCATTTTAACCATTTTAACCATTATTCATATATAGAATATAGATACAGCATATGAAATTACATTGTCAGTATTAGGAACACAAACTGTCAGTAATAGACACAAACATTTGCGGATATGTCAATATTAGGAACATTTTTTCTTTTCATCTTTAATCGAAAAATTATGAATTAAAAAATATTTTGATTAAATAATTTTATAAAAAACATTATTCTCAATTATCCAAATTATTCAAAAAATCGGAAACACGATCATTTATTGTGTCCCACATATAAAATATCTCACGCCAAAGTTGAATTTGTTGAGAAATATGTCAGTAATAGGGACACTTACCTTATTATATTTCGGATAAATTTATAATTAAATGTTAGAGGTTTATTTCATAATATTTTTAGTATGTCAGTTATATGTATGTATTTTACATATACATATATTTTTATTTTTGTTATAAAATTTTTATTATTAATTAATTAATTGAATTAAATATAATTTTTTTTTATTTAATCGATTAAAAATTTATAATTTAATAAATAATTTTTATATGTATTAGAAAATTTTTGCGGTCAATTAAAAATATCAATTCTATATTTGCTATATTTGTAAGTCGGAAACTGCTTTGCTATATTGAAACATGTTAGCACAAATAAAATTGAATAAAAATTTTTTAATATTATACCTAAAGGAGTGTTATTAAAAAATGCAAAATTTTAATTCCCACTTAGCATTTTTTTTTTTTTTTTAATTGCATCTAATTAGGTACATTCTTAAACTTAACATTACAAAAAATTTTCAACTATAATTTATTATTTAATAAAATAAATTTATTAGAGAATTTAATTTGTATAAATATTGTCAACTCTTCTAAGAGAATATGGAAATGCAACACAACTATTGTTTAAAGATTTAAATCACATAAGTAGTATTGAATTGTTTACGTCTCGAAATAGGCAACCAAGAAAAATAAATTTCAATTTTAAAATAATGCATGAATCTTCCGTAATCTAAATCTTCGATAAACTTAAATTTATGAATTTTCACCTTAAATACTATTCTTTAAAATAAATTAAAATTATTAGACTTTAAATAGAGTTAGGTAGATAATAACCTGCCACCTTAAATTATGATTTAACAGTAAAAACACCCTTATTCTTTT